CGACACCCGACGCCCGACGCCAGACGCCCGAAGAAAGACGCCCGACGCCCGACACCCGACGCACGACGCACGTCGCAAGACGCACGACCCACGACGCGCGACGCGCGACGCACGACGGCGACGCCCGACGACGACGACACCCGACGACGACCACGACGACGACGACGATGACGACGACGACGACGACGAACGACGCACGACGCACGACGCACGACGCACGACACACGACGCACGACCCACGACGCACGACGCACGACGGACGACGCACGACGGACGACGCACGACGGACGACGCACGACGGACGACGCACGACGGACGACGCACGACGGACGACGCACGACGGACGACGCACGACGGACGACGCACGACGACGACGACGACGACGACGACGACGACGACGACGACGACGACGACGACGACGACGACGACGACGACGACGACGACCTGGTAATGCCAGGTAATGCGCTTTGTAATGCCATAAAACAAAGCACGCTCGTAATATCCTGGTAATGCCAGGTGATGCGCTCATCTTGGAAGTGAAGTAAAAGTCCTGTTTAATATTTTAGCATTGTAATGCCAAAAAACAAAGCACGATTGAAAACAATGAAAGCATGCAATGAAAGCATGCAGCAACATGGCAAATGATCAATATGAACTCAACGGTTCAAGCGGTCAACAATGCTTCGACATTTTCGGCCACCCAGCACCCTAAATTTTCCGGAAATTTAGGGAGCTGGGCCGTGGCTTCTGAACATGATCAGGCTGCATCCGTTTCCTAAATTTCCTGAAAATTTTGGGTGTGTAAATTTTCGGAAAATTTAGGAAAGCGATGAAGCAAATTTTCCGGAAATTTAGGGACCGAGGCTTCGGGCTACCCGGAACCAGAAATTTTCCAGAAATTTAGGGGAGCGAATCCGGCTTGCGGCCGTCGAAGAGGCCCAGCCTTTCAAAGGGCACAGCCCAAGCCCCATAAATTCCCGGAAATTTTGCGTCCCGGGTAGGCCAAAGCGGCTTGCTCGCCGGGGTCCAGAAATTTCCGGACAATTTTGGGGCTGGGGCGCTCCGAGGCGTGACGCACCGCATACAGTTTGACCGCAGCGTTTTATAGAGTAGATTTTTATTTCCAAAAATATAAATTAAATAAAATTAATCTATAATTGATAAAAATCAGATCAAATCCTAGAATGAGAAGATTTCCTCATAAATTAATGCATAGAGAATAAAAATAAAATCGAAACCTTAGAATGATAATATTTCCTCAGAAGCAAAGAAGATTTTGTCCTATCCTCGTATTGTAATCAGAAAAATAAAGAAATCTTGATATATATTTGCATATTTAATCTAATCTCTATTTATAGTCCGATGAGATTTTATGATTAGGATATATATCTCAATAATAATCAATATGAGAGATCGATTTCTGTTTCCCAAAAGCATAAATAAATAAATAATCTTAATGAAATGAGTTATCATTATCCATTCGAAATATTGCTAGTGAGATATATACAAATCATACGAGAAATTTATATTCCCAGAAATACGAATTAAACACCGAAATGAAGATTTATGAGAAATTTCCATCCATAAAATATTAAAGAGATCTATGTTCTTCCCATTCGTTTTAAGGGGCATCTATTCTTAGAGTCCCATGAGGTTTGTAATAAGATCCGCCGGTTGTGGGGAGGAAGATATATTGGAAGAACAAATATATATCCATATTCTTTATTCACGAAGAAAGATTCGTAAGAAACAACACATTGCAATAATTTACAATCGAGCGAAAACCACAAATCCCAATCGTCATTTGGAGCGCAACAATTGTCCACGTCAACCTCTGAGTATGGACATGAATGCATGTGCTCAGAATATCTATTGCGTCAAACAAATGAATAAGGAATTCCGCCCACCTGAACGCAAAGTCTCGTCGATTTTGGACGCGGGATGCCGGCTGAGCAGGACGGGAAGGTCATGTCCGTTAGTCAAGCATTGCGGCCCTCTCGGCGAGCGCAAGCGAACGGAACATGACATCTTTGCTGCCCCGCATTGCTCCAATGTCAATCCACCCCTGAGCCCAAACCCTAAACCCTAAACCCTAAACCCTAAACCCTAAACCCTAAACCCTAAACCCTAAACATCCCAACTCATACAGCTAACTGCACCCACAGTGAAGGACGTAAGTCCTGGAAACCTGATATGGCAACTCTGAAGCTTAGCATTGTGTCAACAAGGTCCAACTGCAGGTTTAGCTTCTTAGTTGCCTTAGTTGGGTGTAGGGGTTGTTGGGCTTAGGGTTTAGGGCTATTCAGTCTACATCCTGCTTTGCTTCGCAACTCAACAATTGTCCGGCCGCGAATAAAGAGGTGGCTCAGTGGGGCATCTCTCTTGCCTCAGCAGGAAGCATGGGGTCTGGACAACTTAGGGAAGAGGGCTTTGGGTTTAGGGTTTAGGGTAGCAAGGTCCCGAACTCTCTCGAGCCATTTTGCAAAAGGGCCATTGCCACCAGCCAACCAGCAGCATGGTGACAAAGCGCTACGTTTGTGGTCGGAGTGCACTGATGCAGGCAGGGCTCAGGGACCTTACATAAAAATAAACTTTGTTCCAAGGTTCCTAGTACTACAATGTTGGACTCTGCTTAATGCCCCCTCCCGAACAGCCGGAAGGCCGTACGGATCTTGCTTTTGGGATGTAGGGTGTGGAGTGTAATGGTTTGAGAGGAACCACTCCACCACCGCCGGCTGCGGGGTAAAGGCGCGCCACGCAAAATGTACCTGGAAAACATGTCTTTATAGGGGACCCGAGGACCCCTGCAACAGCCCCGCAAACTTGATTTTATAGGGGGGGGGGGGGGGGGGGGGGGGGCAGACTGAACAGGGTTCAACATTATTGCCTGATGTGAGCCGCCGGGGTTTAGGTTTTCAAGAACCAAAAATCTCTGTATCACTCTCTGTGTGTATTTTCTTTTTTGTATCATACGTGCGCACCTGAGTTTGCAACCATTGTCATTGCCGTGATGATCTTGATATGTTGCATTTAGAACTGGACCAACTGCTGTCTGCCAGTTAAGCAGCCTTCCTTCTGCATTCTGCAATCATTCGTACCTGCGCTTTTGCCTCCTGGAACCCTAAGCCAAAACACCCTAAACCCCAAACCCTAAACACTAAACCCTAAACCCTAAACCCCTAAACCCTAACCCCACTTCCCTGAACTCTCCTAAGCTGCCAGGCCACATGTGTCGGTACATGGGCCTGGTGCCAAGCTTTGGCAGCTCCAGCTCGTACACGCCGGTTCTGGGAGGGCCAAGGCGCAGCGCTTAAAAAGCGGAGGGTACAAGGTGATTGTGGGGTTTCGAGTTTAGGCTTTAGGGCTTGGGGTTTGGGATTTTTTTTCGGGGAGGGTTCTTGGATGGGGTTTAGGGATTAGGGTTTAGGCTTTTTTCGCTTGAGGCTCCAAACCACAAGAACTCGCACAAACCTTGAGCCCCCTCGGAAAACAGAAGCCAACTTTCCCAAGGCCCTACCGGTTACCTAGTTGAGTATGATATATGATGCCTGTGTCTTTTCTGGGAATGTTGCGAATGCAACCACACCAAATTCACCAAAAATTCTCCAAGCTTCAACTGGCAGAGTGCATTCTGCGGGTCTGCGCGCACGCAGGCTTCCTTTCTGGCTGATGGGGCCTCTAGGACGTTCAGATCGTACACGTCCTGGATGTGGGAGAGGGCAAGAGTGTGTGTGTGGGAAACATGCCTGTCGTGGAACGGAACGCGCAGTTCCGGCACACTTGCTTTGCCCAGATTCCCCACGAATCTTTATGCAGCTGCGAGTCAACGTTGGTTTGTTCGATGCAGCCTGAGTCGGCACCCATGAAGCTGCTGGTGAGCACTAAACCATTGGACAGCTCATCGGCGTGACCGTCCCCTGGACACTGGCCCGTCGAGCAGTCCAAAATCCGAAAACCCAGAATCTCAAGCCTGAAGCCTGAAAACTCAAACACCCTGAAGCCCTCAACTCTAAGACTCTAAGACTCTAAACTCTAAACTCTAAACTCTAAACCCTGGTACCCGACACTGCTAGGCGCCGAGGCTCTGAAATCGTTGTCAATTGCAGCGAACACGCCCCCGGCTTTCCACATTGAGCACACAAAGACGTCGCAAACCTCGCAAGGATCGTCTTTCAGGTTTTTGGCTTTTGGGGTTTTAAGTTTGGGTGAGCGGGGGGGGGGGGGGAATGTCACAACGGCTAGGGCTTACGGTTCTTGAAATCTTGTGATGGCGGCTTTATGGTTGAGGGCTTAGGGTGTGGAGTTCAGGGTTCAGGGTTTGGGGGATTTAGGATTTAGGGTTGAGGGTTTAGGAGTTCAGGGTTTGGGGCTTAGGGTTTGGAGGCGTTGGGCTTTAAGGGCTGAAGTGCGTTGCGTGGGCCCTCTGGAACTTCGCGATGTCTTCTGCTGCCAAGACGCCATGGCAATCGACTTGGCGGTGGTCCCATTGTTGAAGATTGACGGGTACAGAACTCCGTCTGGCTCCACTACTGCGGGGATTTCGGCCAGCCTTGGTTCTTGGATTGCCTGTCCCATATGGGGAGGGGGGGGGGGTTTATTTACGAAATTAAAATAGATCACAAAATAGGAGGATCCCCTTATGATAAGGACCATAGACCCCAGAATAATAGGATCCCCTTAGACGAAGGACCCCAATAAGGCACGCCAAAACCCCGATCCACGTCTGTGGACAGCTCGCCTGCTGATGACATTAGAGACGGGCCTGCCGAGACTCCGAAAGAAAGCGCAACAACTTCAAATCGACCCCTTAGAAGCCTCTCAGGGTTTACGGTTTAGGGTTTAGGGTTGAGGGTTTAGGGTTTAGGGTGTCGGGTTTAGTTAGGGTGTAGGGTTTAGGGTTTAGGGTTCGGGGTTTAGGGTGTAGGGTTTAGGGTTTTTACGTCAGCCATGCGCCACCAGCCGTAAGTCTTAAGAACTTGAACTCTTGTGCGTCGCGCGTCGGCGCAGTCTGCAGATGCAAGCGGAAGCGGGGGGCGGAGCGGGGTAGTTGTTTTACTCCTGCGTTTCCAATCCACCAGTATCATTCGTCCATCTGTTCCGCTTCTCCATAGATGGTCCATTCGGTTCGCCAGGCCAATGACGTCCTTGCAAGGTCACTGACAAAGGACTGCAGCATCTTCATCTCAGGGCATGTAATTGGAACAGCCTGACCATTGAGGAAAGCCTCAAAGAGGTAGCGCATGTACGTACCATAACGCGCTGCCTCCTGTCCGCCCGCTTGCCACATAGCTTTGACGCCAATCCGAGAAAGAGTCAGCCGTCCAATTTCATCTGCAATCTCATTTTCCTGGGCTAGCTCTCGCAGGAGGCGACTGATACGGATGTCCTATCTTGGGCTTTTGGCATACAAGTCCAGCAGCTCCTGTGTAAACTTACCTGGCTAGTGTTGGGCGGAGATCCAGCAGCTCAGGACAAAGAAGATGAAGTCCGCTCATCCATGTAAACGACACATCATGTTTAAGGTATCCGGCTCTTGGCCAATTTCTGCCGTTCACCATCCTCGTAACGACCATGTCCGCGTCAAACGGATTGGAAAAGGCGTGAATCATCCCCGTAACGGATCCCCTTGCTTGTAGACCGTCGATGTAGTACGTGTGGTGCGAAGCCTGAAAGCGAACTCTGAAGTCTCTTGGACACACATGCAATATCTTGAGTACGTCCACATCTGGCGCTGTTTCGACATTGAAGTCTGCCGGCGAGGCTGCAAAGGTCAGCTGGCTGGCTTGCCGAAGTTTCGGCAGAAAGCCATCCATGTAAGCCAGGCGCGCGCTTTTTTTCTTGTACGCCTCAAGCCTAGAATTTGCAAGCCGCCGTTTCTGCTCAGGGCTCAGGAAAAGCGAAGTGCCACCAAGGTAGTCATCATCGCTAGCCAGCTCGCTCGCCAACTCATCGCTGGGCAGGTCGCTCTCCAACAGAACGAGACCGCTGGGCAGCTCGCCCTCCAACCGAACGAGACTCTTCCTGACGTCACACAGGTGTTGCTCCCTTTTTCGTTTCGAAATTGCAGGATCCACAGGTGGGAACACAAGTCGCTTGCTGACGGCGTCTCGGTGAGGTATCAAGGCCATCATCATACGCGCCCACGTGTCCAGGCATTTGGCGTCACGACCAACGTCCGAGAGGGAATGCTCTTGCAGTTCGCCATGGTTATTCCGGTGCTCAGCATAATTGCAGGATTCACCCGGCCTGTGACTTCTCTTGCTCGGTAATCCACACTGTCAATGTAGTGTTTCCGGGCGCGAGAGCTCACAGTGAGATCGAAGGGATCCGGAACAATGGACCAGAGAACCGGACGTCTCACCATCTCCTGGATATTGCGCAAGGTCAAGACGCGAACCTGCTCAATTCGGTTAAATATCACTTATTACTTCCTAAATCATGCCACGTCAAAAGCTCATAGCAAAAGCTGCCCGTCATGAACACATGCTTGACTTGCTAAAACAAAACCTTAGGTCATGAGAAAACTGCATGCTTTGTTTTGTTAAAACAAAACAATCCATTTTCACAAATAAAGGCATTGCCCATGCTGGGCCGGCGCCGTAGTCAGCGATGGCTGACGCGAGAGCAGGAGACGAAGATTCTCCGCCAATAAAGTCGCCCAGTTGAACAAGCCGGCAAGCAGGACACACGTCCCTACGCGCCGTCCACCTGTGGCTCCTGCAAACCCAGGAACAGCACCCCCAGCAAGCTGCCCAGCGAGGAGAACTCAGAGACTCCTCGTGGCCGCAGCAGGAACACCTGAGCAGGGATGCTGCAGACTCATGACCAAGTTACAGTACCTACTGTGTCTACAGAATCGCTATTCTTTAGTTGGAGCGACCAATTTCTACCCTCGCCTCACCAAAGTCTCAGGATCAACGGGTAAAAGCAGTGGATTCATGGTGGGTGTCTCTGACGCAGAGGGCTTTGAAATAATCCAGATGAATACGGCTGAAAAAGCTCCGGGCATCTCAGCGAATCCTTCCTCAAGGCGAGCCCTGCTACAGTTGCAATCGATGGGTGGGCCAGTTCAGCACAAACTCATTAGCGGCGCCAGGATGACGCAGCTTACTGTTGACCATGTTCGACGGAAAACGCTGGAGAGGGCGCCGCTGTACCCCACCGAAAGTTGACAAAACCTCGTGTAGGGAGCAGCGATTTTCATGTAAGAGTTCCGGTTGCTCGTGGTCGCCTTGGCACCAATATAGATGGCCATCGCGCTGCGTGGCAGGGTCGATGAAAATCTTGCCGCCCTGAGCGGTCAGGGGGGCAGGCTTTGAGAAGGTGTACTGCTTGGGTGGATACCAAGGTGAACCAGTATGGCCTGGGCTGTCCTCTATGTTTGGATTTGGTACGTTTGACCCTGTCTTGTAGCCAGGGCTAAAGATGACATGGTGTAGGGGGTCACTGTTGGCGTGGGTGAGTCTTTTCTGTTGGTATGAAAGTAGGGTTCGCGAGGGCAGTGTCGGGCGGTGTGCTTTACGCCAGACTATCTGGTTTGTGATATGGGAGTAGTAAGAGGCGAAGCCGTAACAAACAAACACGCAGGACTCATTATCCGCCTACTTACTGAAATCTGTTTTCATTTACTTTACTTTAAGAAAAGTCTTTGAGTTTTTAAGGTCGCGTCGCATCATTTTCAAATCAGGACGTCCAGTAGATTTAATCGGCTTTATCTGTGCTTTGTGTTCTCTCACTGTTTTTAATTGGATAGCCCAAAAGAATCAAGCAGACAGGGGCCGCACGCTAGAATGTCTTGCTCGCCCCGCAGGCTTTGAGCTTGAAGTTGACCTCCAGCTCGGTGGAGTTTCCGCGCAGGGCACCGAACTTCACAGCGACCCTGCTCTGGCCATCGCCACGGCCCCGAAACCACCAGAGCCTAGGAGGCACTCCAAGGTGTAGCCATGGGCAGCAGTCACCGCCCTGTGGCCAGCAAAGGCAGGGTCCTCGCATAATGTTGGGAGCACACGAAAGCTTTGTAGATTTTTTGGGGCCGTACGGGGCTGTGTCCTCAGCGTGGCCTCGAAGGAGACCAAGCAATTCCTATTTCTGCAGCACTGGAACAGCTCAATGGCACCCCGCGATCAGGACAGAAGGCCACCTAACCTGCCCAGCAGCCGCCTCTGCTTGATCTGCCAGGCGATCGCCGCCACTCCCACACAGCGTCTGCAATGTCTGCCGCATTGCAGGGACCTCCTCAGGGCAGTCGCTGAAAGAATTGTGTGTCGTGGGGAGACCGTCTTGTGCTGCTGCGTCATTTGCAGTAGTCGCCGTGAAGTCCTACACACTCCAGGCGCATTGCAGGCACAGCGCGGGCGAGAGCGAGAGAGCGAGAGAGCGAGAGAGCGAGAGAGCGAGAGAGCGAGAGAGCGAGAGAGCGAGAGAGCGAGAGAGCGAGAGAGAGAGAGAGAGAGAGAGAGAGAGAGAGACAGAGAGAGAGAGAGAGAGAGAGAGAGGGCCACCAGGTCGTTAGGAGCTGGTCCCAGCTCTCTCTCTCTCTCTCTCTCTCTCTCGCTCTCGTGTGTGTGTGTGTGTGTGCGTGCGTGCGTGTGGGTCATCGCGTTAGTTTGGCGGGTGTAAGGGTGGGGATTCGCGGAGTAGCTGGAGCTCATCTGGTGTGACCTTTGAAGGAGCCCACTGAGCGGTAGAAAGGTGTTTGCTGAAGGCTTTGTGTGTTTGTGACCACGGTATTACCTTCTGTTGCTCCCTTTAGCCAGTGTCTGCGCTCCCTGAAGCCAATTTTCGCGCGGCATATTTGATGCCAGATGGTAGTGGGTGAGATTGGTGTCTTCCAGGAATTGCTTTGTAGTAGGATGTGTAATCAGGGTCGTTTGAGAGCTTGAGTGGCTTTGCATGATGTACGCGCCTTGCTAACTCGTCTGTTATCCAGGGGCGTGTGGGCTGATAATGTTGGATGGGAAATGCTTGCTTTGCCGCTGAGGTCAATGCCTCTAGAAGTTTCAAGATTCCAACATGTAAACCTATCTGGGGTAGCCCTGAACCAGCCCCTAACGATTCCATGGTTTAGGGCCCTAAACAAAAACCCTAAACCCTCTAGACCCTACACCCCTAAATCCTCAACCCTATACCCTTACCAGAGGGATCGGAGAGATTGTCATCAGAAATCTCGGTGAAATCGGCGAGCTATGACATGTCCAGCGGAAATGAACTGCCTTGCACGCCTTTAAGCGCCAGCTTTCCAGCTGACATAGCTTTCGGGGCCTGGTAGGAAATGATCTCCGTCTCCAACAAGTTTCCATGAGGTGGAATTATCCTGCAACGGCAACTGAGTCTGCAACACAGCGCCGTAGAGGATCCCTGACGTTGTCTGCAAAGCATTCGGATTCATGAGCTGTACGTACTGTGACTGACAAATCGCCAACGCCAGCTGTCTCAAGCCGAAAGAAACCTGCATTTTGACTGGCTGGAGTGGATCAACACTCGCGACGCCACACGCACTAGACCAAAACCCTGCAGAAGTACGGCTGGCATTGCTCACCAAATGCTAGAATGCACCGAAGATGAAGAATTCACGGCTACTCGCGATGCGTTTGATGAGTCGGAGGACGGAGTATGGTCCAACAGCCCGAGGCACTGGTAAGTGATTGGGATGCCTGGATTCCCCTACTCGATTGAGAGACATCGACTTAAAGTTGGAGCGGCGGCGCTATCTCCTTCTCCTGCGTCTTTGTGGGGGTTTGTATGGCACAATCGCCATGGCGTTGGGCGTGATAGCCCCCACACTCTGTGCCAGCACTGCTGGAGCATCTCGCCGCATGCACTGACGATTTCCGCTGCGCCCTGTCCTCCCTTTGCGTCCCACGCCTGGTTCTCTTGGGCGTAACTAACAAAGGGAGATGAACCAAATGCAAATTACCGCGCGTCAGTACCAGCACTTCCAAATTTGGCTCCACTTGCTGATCAACACGGAAGCTCGGCCAAAACTGTCACTCTAGCGTTGGCTGCACCTGCATGGCTGATCATTCCATACATTAAGCCTGAAGACGCACGCTCAAGCCTGAAGGGATGCACCTCCACAGCTGGTCCTCGATGCGGATCAAGTCCACCCTGAATGTTTGATGGTCGACTCAACAACCATAGGGCCTAGCGCAACCGCCACTGTGAGTCCGGGATTTGTTAAACAGTCCCTCACCTCAGGACGTTCCGGGGCACGTCCACTCAGTGAGACTCAGGCTCAACTCCACATCCCGGCCGTAGGATGTGGAGGCGAAGAACAAGGCTGCCATCTAACCCACTCACCCATCGCGTAGGTGGCCGAACCCGGAGGGGGTAGGCGGAATCCCCCGCAGAGCAAAATTTCGGCACTCGGCATCTGCTGCGGGCACGTCCTCCCACGACACCAGAGCTTTAATTCCGTGGACGTGTGACACGCCACACCCACGTCCGCGGTTCCAAAATGGGCGCTCACTCGCGGGCATGGTTGTGAAACGGAGTTTGGGGGACCATTAAGGCTTCAACCGGTGCTTCTCCGGTCCAAACACCCAGTTCTTGCAAATCAATCCTGCTGGAACGACTTCGGCAATGACTCAATGACACTTTGAACCCTTCAAAATCGTGTAGGTTCTCATGCTCCCAGTGGGTGACGGGGCAACCCACAGCCTTGAGCGTGAGAAGTTTTTCATCCGCAGTGAAGAATTCGTTGTGAAGCTTGACGCTCTGAACGAGCTCCTCAAAGCGCTTGCCGTCAATGGTGGTAATGGTAGTGACTTCATCTTCCTCGGAGAAAAATCGGTAGCGGTCGTCCCGAGCGATCGCAACCTCACATCCGCGCGGGTACTTCTCAAGGGCATACTCGGCAAACTTCGCACAGTGAGGGTTTAGGGTTTAGGGTTTGGGGTTTGGGGTTTGGGGTTTGGGGTTTGGGGTTTAGGGTTTAGGGTTTGGGTTTAGGGTTTAGGGTTTCGGGCTACTTCAGCGAGGCTGCTCCATCCCTTTAGCCTGTGCCCGTCGGTAGAGCTCCGTGGCCGAGAGGTTGCTGAAGGAAGATCCGGTCACGTGCTGATTCCTTAGGGTTTAGGGTTTAGGGTTCAGGGCTTAGGATTCAGGGTTTAGTGCCCAAACAGCAAGCCCCAGAACTTAAAGTGTTAATCTCCAACCCACGGCGACAGGGTGTACTGCGCCGAGGCGGGAGGAACAAAGTGGCACTGCATGCAGGCGGGAGCCCAGATATACAAACGCACAGGTTGGGATGTTCCCCCTCCTTCTACTAACAGTCCTTACAACTGGGAGTATAATGGGGGGGGGGGGGGGTACTACAATCCCCTTAAGGACTGTTAGTATAAGGGGGGACATCCAGGCCTCGAGCCAGAGAACCGGGACCCAGGTGCAGGATATAGCCAGTCTCTTCACTCTCAAGGCGGACAGACGAGTAAACCCAGGGTTCAGGGGGGTCTTGGCCAGCCTGTCGGCAGATAGGAGCCGCGGCCAATCAGGTGGGGAACAGGCACTGTACTTGCAAGCAGTTTAGGGTTGGGGGTTTAGGGTTTAGGGGCATTTTCGCAAGGACACAAGAGGCTTGTTCAAAGTGGAACTAGATTGCCCAAATGCATGCAACGGTCAATCACCTGTTGCAACTGACATGCGAGCCACGTGCCTACTTACCCTGTCAGATGACTGGCTGGAACCAGAGCCATGAAGCGTAACCCTAAACCTAAACCCTAACCCTAAACCCTAAACCCTAAACTCCAAACCCCAAGCCCTAAACCCCGAAGAGCACGACTACGTGCAGGCGCGAGTCCAGGCAAGCAGAAAGGGCTTCTCCAGTCTGGGGATGTAGCGTGTGACGATGGGAACTGCCACCTGGTTCTTGTATGGTGTGGATTTACGGTTTAGGGTTTAGGGTTTAGGGCTTAGGGTTTAGGGTTTAGGGTTTTAGGGTTTAGAACTTCGGGTTTAGGGTTTAGGGGTGAGCCCCCTGTAGGTTGGGTTCAGAGTCTTAAGGCTTGAGGGCTTCTGTTTCTGGGAGTTGGGATTTTGGAGCTGCCTTCTGCAGGTATTCGGATTTGTGACTTATTACATCTGATGGGCCAAATATCTTAGGGGGTTACTACCTTGGACAACTACATGTTCTCTGCACAAAACGGTCGCGCGTGTAACGACTGCGCGAGGGCTCCCATACTACCCACCCCCAACGAGCCCGGGCTGTAGGGCTTAGGGTTTAAGAATTCGGTCATAGGGTCTAGGTACCCTACCCTAAACCCTAAACCCTAGACCCTTGATCGTAATCCCGTCCCCCCATGGCCTCGATGAACTCCCAGGTGAGGCACTGCTTCTCACCTTCCGGAGTGTCGTAGGGCGGCTTGCACCTCAGACCACCCTCCGAAAACTCATCAGACAGTGAGGGGCCCATATTCCCCTACTTATGAAGGTTCGTCTTATGCAATCGCCCTGTTTTGGAATAGCGACCCATATGCCCTTATGTGCTAAGGTCTGTCAAGGTCTTACTAGAACGCCTTGTTGGAAAAGATGGACCCCTCAGGCCAAACAAGAACCCACAACCCACACCCTGTCTTCAGGGCCTTGATTTTGAGCACCCTACTGGGAATCATTGAACTCGGTGACCTCAAGCCCATGAGGGCTGTTAGAATAGAAGGGGTTACAGGGCTTAGGGTAGGGTCCAGGGCTTGGGGCTTACACAGCTTGGCTTAGTTTAGGGCTCAGGCTAAAGCCCTATCTTAAACCCGAAACCCGAATCAGCAAAAATCCCGAGAATCCTTTCCATGGTCTTCCTGCGGCCAGGGTGCGGGTAGTTGTTTCGGAGGGTGTCGATCCATCCCGTGAGAAGCGCGTGGTACCCATACTCGAGACCTGTCGGGTCTCGGCGTTTTGGGGCGCATCGGCACAGGGACCCTAAACCCTAATTAAACCCTAAACCCTAAACCCTAAACCCTAAACCCTAAACCCTAAACCCTAAACCCTAAACCCTAAACCCTAAACCCTAAACCCTAAACCCTAAACCCTAAACCCTAAACCCTGTTCAGGGGTTCAGGGGTCGAGGGCGCACGCTGGCATACATCGGAGGGCAAGGCATGGACTCAAGAGCCTGAAGTAGGCGACCCAAACCCTAAACCCTGAACCCTAAACCCTAAACCCTGAACCCTAAACCCTAAACCCGACCGGCAGTAGGTGGCCCCGATGAAAGGCCGGCAAGCCGAGCCGGTTCCCACGAGTACTGTGCTTTTCACCCTGAACCCTAATGATAAATGCCATCCTGGGAAGAAGCCCGAAGATTGATTCCATCTACTCTACTTGGCACTGGTAGGTCTCTGAGGCAGGCTGCAGATGAGGAGCTTCAACCAAGGTTCCTGACAAGACTCTACACTGCACCGCTCACTCCTGAACTCCTCCTGAACCCCTGCACCCCGAGTCACAGTCTTTGGGTTGCTTCGCGCACCGCTCGCCTTCGTACTTGTGGAAGAAGGCATTGGCCTCACCTCACCGCACTTCAGCCCTCAGAAAGCCGGCCCCCACAGCAAGCTGACATGCAGCGAGGGATGAGGGTGCACGGGATGCTGTTTGAGGGGTCGTCATCGGATCATATCAAATCTGCTTCCTGTCCCTTTGTTCTTGCTGCTTGCTTCTCTCGCTCGCTCTTCCTTCCTTCCTTCCTTCCTTCCTTCCTTCCTTCCTTCCTTCCTTCCTTCCTTCCCTGCTTCCTCGCTCCGTGGCTTCCTTGCTTCCCTGCTTCCTTGCTTTGCTTCTTTGCTTCTTTGCATTCTTGCTTCCTTGCTCCCCTTAGGGGGCCGCTCTGACGGGCGCGCGAGTACCGGTTTGTGGTTGTGAACTGGAATGCTCGTGTGCCGATTCTTCGGCTCTGAGGGTTGAACGTCGGGATGATTGCAGCCAGCAACCCAGGAAGGATACTGCATCCCACCACACAAGTGCTGGCCAAACGATACTTCAACTACAACGCCACATGTCCCCGAGGACATCCGACCCTAAACCCTAAACCCTAAACCCTAAACCCTAAACCCTAAACCCTAAACCCTAAACCCTAAACCCTAAACCCTAAACCCTAAACCCTAAACCCTAAACCCTAAACCCTAAACCCTAAACCTAAACCCTAAACCCCAAATCGAACCCGAACCCCGAACCCCGACCCCCCGAACCCCGACCCCGACCCCCGACCCCCGACCCCCGAACCCCGACCCCCGAACCCCGAACCCCGAACCCCGAACCCCGAACCCCGAACCCTGAACCCCGAACCCCGAACCCCGAACCCCAAACCCCAAACCCCAAACCCCAAACCCCAAACCCCAAACCCCAAACCCTAAGCAGGCCGCAAACTATCCTCTTGTGCGCTACTCACCTTTTTCTCGTCCTAACCCTGCCAGCGCGCAGGCAAAGCTTAAAGGATGTCCTCGGGCTTGGGGTTTTTAGGGTTTAGGGTTTAGGGTTGAGGGTTTAGGGTTGAGGGTTGAGGGTGGATGTCCTGGTGCAGGAAGCTGCAGGTGCAGTTACATGCCATGCACCGTTGGAGTTGCCATGCCTTCCACAATATGGCTTAGAACATACTTTCTGCCCATTCACGTCCGATTAGCATTGCGGATCGCAATTCAGCGAAAGGTTGCCGAAACAGAATCATAAACTAGCCGGGTTTTTATACCAAAAAATCTGGAAACCGAATGCTAACATGAAAGCAGAAGAAACAAAGACAGAGAGAGAGAGAGAGAGAGACAGCCGAACCGAAGGCTTAGGGGCTGATTCATTCTTGGAACGCACACACCGATGACGGCACTTGCTTCTGCTTCTTCCAGCTAGCTACCGCGGCTACGGCATCCTGTTCCTGAGCTCCATGCGCTCATCGAAGGTTTTGCCTTGGCTCGAACGTGTGATTCGGACCTCCAGTCTGCCACACCGTCTGGGATGGCCCTTCAATAACCTTCTGAGTTTTTTTTCGGAAAACATGAGCCCCTTCAGCCCAATAAGGGAAAATCACATGTCCCAAGGCCCGACCTACCAGTGCTTCACGGAATTAGTCGGTAGGACGTGGCAACGGGCCCGGTCTGAGGTATCTCTTGAAGAGCGTGGCTTCATGCAGAGCTGTCTGCAATTGTCTGCAGCTGTGCGGCGATACTCCTCCTTCAAGGGCGCATGTACGGTGGAATACCCTGCGGCGCGGGCCTGGCGCAAGCCAGAGACTTCCAGAAGTGAGACTAGACCCAAGAGTAACCTAGGAAGAAAGGGCGCCCTTTTTGCTTTAAAGATTACAAGAGAACCTAAACCCTAAAAAAAGGGGAAGAAGGGCCTACTCCTGGTCCTAAGTCCTAGGAGAAGCTGGCAGCCGTGCGCCTGGGTGATCCACTGGCGGTAAGGCGTACGCTGGATGCCGTTGGTTGGCCTAAGCAACGACCCGGGGGTGGGTGGGGGGTGGGGTGGGGCTTACTCCATCGGAGGCGAAGAACATGCTGCAAGTCCGGCGCAATCATGTGCCACCAAACTTCTTTGCAATCACTTCTCTAAAGTATGGTCCCTTTGCTGCTATGAGAAGGTGACCACCAATATTTAGGATACCCAAGAAGGGACCATAATCTTCAGAACTGACCATATACGCCCCAAAGCAGGCAACTTGTAAAGACACCCCAAAGCCTAAACCCCAAACCCTAAACCCTAAACCCTAAACCCTAAACCCTAAACCCTAAACCCTAAACCCTAAACCTTAAACTCTGAACCCCTAATAAACTAAGCAGGCAAAGGCTCCAGTAGGAGCTGTTGACAGTGCTCTCCGCCACATACAGCTGGCCATCCTCCCAGATGGCCACAGCCGTGTGACCAGTGTGAGAGCCCATGCCTTCCGGTTTAGGGTTTAGGGTTTAGGGTTTAGGGTTTAGGGTTTAGGGTTTAGGGTTTAGGGTTTAGGGTTTAGGGTTTAGGGTTTAGGGTTTAGGGTTTAGGGTTTAGGGTTTAGGGTTTAGGGCGCAACCCGCAGCCGGGGTCCGTGCCGAGCCCTGATGAGGTACTGGGCTGAGGGGGTAGGGAGTTTAGGGTTCAACCCTAAACCCGAAACCCTAAACCCTAAACCCTAAACCCTACACCCTAAACCCTAAACCCTAAACCCGAAGAATAAAAGGTTTAGGGTTTAGGGTTTAGGGTGCAACCCCAAACCCGGAACCCCAAACCCTAAGCCAGCAGTCCAGGACACCCCAGGCCAACATCGGATCCAGACCGTCGAGTCGCAAAACGCCGAGGAAGTCCCCGGAGCGAATGTCCTGGGGTGCAGTGTTTAGGGTTTAGGGGTTAGGGTTTGGGGTTTAGGGTTTCGGGTTTAGGGTTTGGGGTATAGGGTTTAATGCTTAGGGTTTGAGGCTTTCGGGGTTTCAAGGTTTGGGCTTGAGGCTTGCCCGCAGATGCTTTGCTAAAGGCTCGCGAAAGGGTCTCTCCAGCACACCGCGAAGCCATGGCCCTAAACCTTAAGCCCTGGACCCCTAAACTCCGTATTCTTGACCCTGAACCCCGCCCTAAACCCTAAACCCTAAACCCTGAACCCTAAACCCTAAACCCTAAACCCCAATTAAACCCTAAACCCTAAACCCGAAGCCACCAGGCTGCCAGGACGCAGACTCGTTGAGAAGCAAGCCCCCCGGGTCTTTCCGAGGCTTCAGGCCAGACCCGACGTAGTTCCGCAGGAACTCCACATTTCGCTTGGCGAAGGAGGATTCGACACCTCCCACATCTTGGGGATCTAGGGTTTAGGGTTTAGGGTTTAGGGTTTAGGGTCTGTCTTGGGGACTTAGGTCACTATGGCAATGGGGGGATTTGGGGGGCAGGTTCCCTCCTCCGCTGTGCTCCCTCACCTCCTCTGCCATACACCAGAGAATCAGAGGCGCAGAGCCCCAAACACCGAAACACACAATGCTGCAAGACACACACGCGGCTTCAGAAAATCAGCCCTGCCGAATGCCCCCTAGGCCCCGAACCCTCACTGAGGTGTGGTGGGCCTGATGCTACCAGGCGCTTGAAGCACCCACACATCGTACAAGCTCCACTCGAAAGCCGTATGAACCCTTACAAGCCCCCCACAAGCGCTCATCAACCTTCATCAGCCCCCACCAACCCTCACAAGCCCTTGTAAACCCACATCCTTCTAGACCGTTTTCTCCCAAACCCTCGCAAATACCGTGCCCAAGGCTTGCCAGCCCAGGAACAAAATCACAACAAGGGTTTGGGGCTGAGGGTTGAGGGTTTAGGGTTGTCCCGAAACGCTTGGGTTTAGGGCTTAGGGTTAGGCCATCTCCACACGACTTGAATGCCAGTCTTCTTCTCTTAGCCTTGATAGGTCTTGACCGAACAGGTCATAAAAATGTGGTTCCCTAGAGATGAAGGCTGGAGCCATGTACTCTCCAAACACGCCACCAAGCCCACCTTGGCTCACTCTCTCATTCACTCGCTCGCATTCCAACCTGTCCAGCCTGGCCCACTCACCTTGCCTCACCTACTCATTTCACATGACTCACATGGTTTGTTTGAAAATAGGGGTACCTTTTTGGGTTCTCATTATACAGGAAAAGCCTATTATTTTAGGGGTCTAGATGAAGGGTCCCTTCTTGTCGTACACCCCCACATGCTCCTCGCTCGTTCGAAGCCACTCCTCCTGCCAAGCATCCGCCTGCCCCCACCTCCCCCCCGCCCCTGAGCACCTCGAGTTGCATCTGGCACGAAGAGCAAGGCAGTGTCCAAGATATTCCTGGCGGCGGCCATCCCCCACCCAAGAGGGAAGCGCAACTGGGGTCGCGTGTTTGCCAGCTGCTTGATGAGCCCCACCACACACAAAAAACAAGGGCCGCGGCTTTGAGGTTCAAAAACTTCATATTCAGGGACCCCAGGTACCGTAGAAGAATCCCCGGGAGGAACCCTCGGTTTAGGGCTTGGGGTTTATGGTTTAGGGTTTCGGGTTTAGGGTTTAGGGTTTAGGGTTTAGGGCTCAGCCAACAAGAGCCCAGCCTGACGGTTGCCAATGGGCTCTCCTGGAAGGTGAAGATCCGGATGCCCAGCGTCTCCACATCCCAAACTTGGCTTTCGGTCAACCTTGGGCTTAGGGTTTAGGGTTTAGGGTTTAGGGTTTAGGGTTTAGGGTTTAGGGTTTAGGGTTTAGGGTTTAGGGTTTAGGGTTTAGGGTTTAGGGTTTAGGGTTTAGGGTTTAGGGTTTAGGGGTTTAGGGTTTAGGGCTTAGGGTTTAGGGCTGAGGGTGCCCAAGCAAAAGCCTCTTGTTTTCTTGCGGGGGAGGAAGGGGGGGGGGACTATTCTGCAATTCAGGGGCTCTGCTATGAAAAGGCTACTACGGCAGGCCCTCCCGAACTGAACGACACGTCGAAAGGCTAGGGTGTTTGGGGTTTAGGGTTTAGGGTTTAGGATTTAGGGTTTAGGGTTTAGGGTTTGCTGACAGTTCCGGGTTGCTTGAGGGTTTGGAGTTGCAGGTTTTGTGGGTTGCTGGGCTTCACCAAGCCAAAGCCCGGCATCACGAGAGCTGAGGCAGGGACTGCCCAATCGGAAAGGTGAAGGTCTTGCTGCCTCCAATCGGCGCCGGGAATGAGCCGACTCGGAAGTGTGAGCCGGTGAAGAAGCCGAAAATCTCATCACACAGCCTGGGTTTCACTGCCCCTGCATTTCAATGAGACAGCTGCCACGATCAAGATGGTGCAGCCGCTTCAAGCGAATTACAGTCGTGCTGCGGCGCCAGCGGCGATGCAGCTTGCATGAAAATCTGTCGCTATTACTATTATCCTTCTTCTTATTATGCTTTTTAACTGCAGCAAGCTTGAGCATCGCCAGAACTGCTGCTGCAGCAACGAGGGCCCAACTACTATGCCGAGCAAAGCCTTTCCTGCGAACGGCTTCTACAGAACCCGTTTCCAGCTTCAACCGCAATCATGCATCTCGGCTAGGGGATGCTGTAGTCAGTGCTAAGATCGACAACTGCTCCACAGCCCCCGGCGCAGCCCCCATCTTCCAACAAGCGTCAAGTGCTTCGCTTTCGACACCTCCACCTTCAAGACCCAGTTGCCATTCGCCTTCACCGTCGATGCGGAGATCTGGACCAAGGCAAGTCTATGGGCTTAGGGCAGCCAACCACCACGGTACCACCTTTTGGGGAGGAAAGGGCACAGCTCTTCAACACAGCGGCCACTTCACCCCGACGCTCGGCAGGTCCAACAGACTTGAATTCCGGGCCTTTTGGCATCGTCACGTGTCTCGCAAGCCGTGAACCCTAAACCCTAAACAGGGTTTCGGGTTTCGGCTTCGAGTTTAGGGTTTAGGGTTTGAGTTTAGGGTTTAGGGCTGAGGGCTTAGGGCTCAGGCTTAGGGCTTCGGGCTTAGGGTTTATGGTTTAGGGGAGGCTTAATTAGACTCGAACAAACCCTCACGTCAGGTTTAGGGTTTTGGGAGTCCAGGGCTTCCACTTCTTCTTGTGAGGGCTTGGGGATGTCAAGACCGAGGGTTTAGGATGAGTTTAGGGTTTACGCTTTAGGGTTGAGGATGTAGGGTTTAGGGTTTAGGGTTGAGGGTTGAGGCTTGAGGCTTGAAGGTTGAGGGTTGAAGGGTTTCCGGCACAGCCTCCAAAGGCCGAAGACCAACACTGAACCGGAACCGGCCTGGTTCCAACAGCGGGAAGACCAAGTCACCGCCGTCTTATTGGGGAAGACACGGTCCACGAACTTCCTCGGCATATCGGAAGGGCTAGAGCGTGCCTCTGATGAGACACAGTACGATACTGTCGAGCGGATTCTGCGCTGCAGAGAGTGTTGCAGAGTGGAGCGTAGCTGTCATGAATGGTGACAAACAGAAAGTGCAGAAGCTGCCACAGGAGGGTGCGGCTACGGCTTTGCAGACAACGCGAATGATCGAAACTTACGTAGTCGGGTAAAGGCACTGCCTGTTGTTGAGGCAGACACTTGGAGGTTCATGGTACTTATTGACCAATTAACACTGTACCTATGACTGTACTTATAACTATGGTTAAACCATATTAGGGCACTTAAGGGGCTTATAAGTGGGTGATACGTACAGTCATACTTGGTTAAGAAGTACCATGAATGTCCAAGCAGGCGTTTGTCACAGTTGCAAGGGGCTCGCGTTCGCTCCCGGTCCTTTTTTTCGCACGTACCGTCATAAAGTCAGTGCCAACATGGTCAGTTCTCTTCATGATCCTTTTTGGGGTTGCTATTGAATATGTAGGGTAGCCACAAAGGGACCATAATTTTGAGAACCGACCATACATGTCATGGGCACGGGTGGATTCACTATGGTGTGTGCACCTCGTGGCCTGTAGCAGCAATCTATGCATGCGGAAGTGCACTTGATCGAATTCTCTTGCTGGAAGTACTTCAGCACTGTGTCATGGCCAACATTCACCAGACCGACTTAATTACCAGTGTGGGGCACGGCATGTCCCTCGCTTCCACCGGATCTGCCCCCTCCTCGGCTCTACATGGAACAGAACGGTGTAGCAGCATCCACGCTTGCCGAAAAATCACAGCAGAACCTTGGTGAGCTCAGCTACAGCCAGGCCCTGCCCAAAACCTGCAAGCAGCGAAGTGCCTCGGGATTCTACGAGGCTGGTGGCAGAGCTGCGTACTGCGCAGAGGGGGGCTAGAAACAGCATACACACTGCTGGCCCCCCCCTGCAACCGCAAGACCGGGACACTGAGCTGCTTGAAGTAAGACCCATGTCCACTAAATCTCACGGCCAAAGTCGACGATCTCGTCGCGCCCGGCAAGATATGTTCTGCGGGGAAGCGACCTCGTAGCTAACCTGATCTGGTGCGCTGCATACTTGTAGTCCGTATCTACCCGTAGGTCATCTACATGCGTGAGCACCCAGGATGTCTCCACATGAGCGCTGCCCGAAAATTCCGTGCCAACCGCCGTGACAGTCAAAGGCACACTCTTCGAGAAGCGCACGCACAGCGGAGTGGAGTGGAAGAGAACCTCGACATGCTCCCTGTCTGGCGTCTTGAAGGTCAGCTTCAACGTCTTCTCAGCTTCCCCCGTACCGACCTCCTCATGGAAGGAAGAGGCCGCCGTGGAGATGGAAGCATCTAAGTCTCCTTCGTCCACTTGTGAGCTCTCCGCTTTGTCACGGAAAGCATGGTGGGTCTCATACTGTGCATAGCAGTTCTCATCCGGAAAGTCTATGACAAGAGCTGCGTGGCTGTGCTCATCAGGAACTGTGCCGGCATTGCCGAGGCACCATGAGAACATGGCCGATCAAAGCAGGACTTAGCGCGCCAAGTCTCAAGACAGCTGGGCTTCGAGCCAAAGTAAACCTTGCAACCGAGACCCGGTGTAGGGACCATGGTGAGTGCCGATGTCAGTTTTGGAAAACTGGACCATCTCTATCTTTCGGGTTCAGTGGGGTTATTAGGGGCTGCCTGACTTCTTCGCATTACCAAGATCAAGGACCTTGCGCCTTCCTGAGGCTTCTGAGCGGAACTCCCCACGGTTGCAACCGGAAATGCATTTTGTAGATTCTGCCTACAGTTTTTCGTGGGTGGAGAGGCAATAAAAAAACCTCCCAAACAGCGGTACCGGTACCTTGCTTGCGGTTCCGATGACAAGGATTCTAGTATTCTGGAGTTGTGTGTAAAAGGGGACCCCCACTTTAGGAAATGCCTTGACATGAAGGCATCAAAAAATAGATCAATCCCAATCAAGACATGCAGGCTCGCCACGGCAGGAAGCCCCAGTAGTTGTAGCCATTCGGAGACCTGCAGGATGTGGGGATTGGGGATTCGAGATGGTGAAGCGCGGGAGTTGAGGACCTGGACTTTGCTGGCTGCATATGAAGTAGGGTACATATTTCTTGTACCCCCAAAAGGACACCAGGTATATACACTCACCAATGATAAAAGGGAACCTTACATACACTCACCAAAAACAGTGATATAAACCCTACTTGATACGAGGCTCACAACCTGGTGCCCTTCAAGCCTACATAAAGCCCAACGTTTCCTCCGGGCTTCAAAAGGCTTGCGGAAGTGAGTGAATGGCCCTAAGCTCTCTCGGGTCTTTGTACTTCACGCGGGGTTGGTCTGCCACACTAAACAATTTTGAAGCCCTCAGTGGGAAAGCCTTGGGGAGTCGAAGTCTGACATTGAACCAATCTCAAAAGTCCTCTGGGCCCCAAATCTGAGAGCCGTGAAGAAGGCTGGGGAGCTCAGGGCTGGGATCTTCACTTTCTTCCTGCGGATGCCCGCGTAACTTAGTTGTCCAGTATCCTGGAGGAACTAAAGGTTCACCCTCGGCATTATATAGGGATTGCAATGCCCCCAAAGGCCAGTAAGGGCTACCTACTCTACTACTCAGGCACCAAAAACAGATGCAATCCCTGATCTTCAAACACTCACCACTATGCCCTGCATTCGAAACCCTGGAGCCTCAACCCTGAATCCCTCGAACCCCAGCATCGGTCCCAAAAACGCAACACCATGAATACTATAATACATTCGATCTTTCCAAGATATATTCAATAGCTCATCTTCATCAATGACTCTTCCAAACATTTCATCTGTTCTACGAAACATAACCTTGCATATATAGCATGTGTCCACATCATACATTATACATTACATATTACACGTTGCATCTTACATTTCATGCTACAAATTACACATTACACATCACACATTGCATGTTACATACTACATGCTACATACTACATATGACATGTTTCATATAACAGAATACATACTACACATTACGCATTACATACTACAGATTGCAGAATTATTACATGTTGCATATTACATAGTATATTGTGTAATGAATATCAGACGATAGATGATAGATTCAGAAAAGCAGCGCACCAGGCTGAACGGTCCTTCATGCTAGATGAAGGAGGGTCCATGATATTGTATATGGCACATGACATGTGACACATGAAAAACTTGATAAATATTTCCCAGAATTATCAATCTACAGGCTTAAGGCTCAGTTTTTGGCCTCTTCCCGTTTGGGGGTCCTGTTTGCCGACAGTCCCTTCAATCTAGGATATCCACAAAAGGGACACCGATTAAGAAAACGGCGAAAACTGCATGAGGTTTGCTTAACCCTTCAGGTTCTGAAGCCCCAAACCCTAACTCCTAGGCTTGCGATTGGAGCAATGATGCGCCAAGTGGCTCGAGCGCCTCACCTGATGCTGCCTGCTGCGCAAGCGCCTGTTCGGACACACCCACACCAGTTTGGGGTTCCAGCTTCGAGGGTTTAGGGTCTAGGGTTTAGGGTTTAGGGTTTAAGGTTTTGGGTTTAGGGTTTAAGGTTCAGGGTTTAGTTAGGGTTTAGGGTTAGGGCTACAGGTTCATTGTGAGATTTGGTGGTCTGAGGGTGAGGTGACCCGGCGCCCACAAGCGTCCCCTGCCGAGCATGCGCGAGCGTTCGTTGGTGACCAAACTCGTGACTTTCGTTTCCTTTGGAGGTTTGGCTTTTTGGCTGCTGTCCTTTAAGCGCAAGGCCAAAAGCGATGACAGTCACGAAAATGGTGAATGTAGCTGTCGCTATCTGCTCATGCTTTCGAAGTCCAGAAGTGCCGTCACGAGGACTTTGAATGCAGCATTCGCCATATACTCCTAACTGCTCACACCTTTGAGGCATCTCATCAGCTTCGCGTGAACCCATTGCGAAGCTTTTAATGCTATGAAAAAAATGGCCTTGCCTCTCTGTTCTTGAGCGTTTGGGGTCTGTAGCAGTTACCTGAACTTCGTTAGAGATTTTTTTCTGGGGGGGGGGGGGGGTGTGTGTGGAGCGTTCAGGATTCTGTCATGTCTTGGGAGAGCTCTCGACCTCAACCGTCCTCAGAATGCTCCTGTCACAAGAGAACCAAACGAAAATGAGGAAAGTCGTTCGACAACTGCAAACCCAAAATGCGAACACTAAACCCCCCCCCAAAAGGTTGAGGCCCTAAACCCTAAGCCCTATGCCCTAAGCCCTAAACCCTAAACCCTAAACCCCGATACCCTAAAGCCTAAACCCTGATCTTGCCTCCTTGATCAGCTGTTCCGATTCCGTTAACGGACCTTGAAGTTGTCAGCGAGGTTTTCGCGTTCAGGCTTTAAAGCTGAGGACTTCTGTGGCTGGCCCTAGACCCCAGAATGGCTTAGGGTCTGGGGTTTAGGGTTTAGGGTTTAGGGTTTAAGGTTTAGGGTTTAGGGTTTAGGGTTTAAGGTTTTGGGTTTAGGGTTTAGGGTTTAGGGTCCTAAACCCTACTACAACCTAATTCATGGTGTGGGGTTCAGAGGTTACGCAGGAGTTAGTTCTTTTGAAGGAATGGGTTCAGGAGCTACAAGGCAAACCGCTTAGGCTTTACAGTCTTCAGGACTTGAGAACTCGAAGGTTTCAGTCGCACGTAACTGAGAAGCACTCCTATGCAGCGGCATGCAGGGTGTAGGGTTCGAGGGTGTAGGGCTCGGGGTTTAGGGTTCAGGGTTTAGGGCTACGGGTTGAGGGTTAAGGGTTAAGGGTTAAGGGTTTAGGGTTTAGGGTTTAGGGTTCAGGGCTCCCAAGACGGAACTTCCTAAACCTTTCCAGAGCTTGTTCCTGGGTAGTTCCGGGTCCCCTAAACCCTGAACCCTGAACCCTAAACCCTAAACCCTAAACCCTAAACTCTAAACCCTAAACCCTAAACCCTAAACCCTGCTCCTCTTTGGGCCCAGGTACGCTTCGCGGCAAAGTCGATTCCGCTTACCTCCCGCGGATGCGAAGCTGGAGATTGCAGGTATTTCGCAAAAGAAGGGTACAGGGTTTAGGGTTTAGGGTTTAAGGTTTAAGGTTTAGGGATTAGTGTTTAGGGTTTAGGGGTACCCCTTTGATACCCCAAATAGAATAGAATTCCCTTAAGGGGTTTTCAGGGGTACCCCTTTTATACCCCAAATAGAATAGAATCCCCTTAAGGGGTTTTCAGGGGTACCCCTTTTATACCCACATAGAATCGAATACCCTTAAGGGGTTTTGCATTCTTCGCAGTTTCACTTTCCGCAGGGGTGACGCCAGGCATCACGAAACCGCAGCGCTGCGAGTTTCAGGGGAATACAGAGAAAGCAGATGCTGAAAGTCTTGAATGCGCTGCTGCCTCGACACGGCACCCTGAAACATTGAAACCCAAAGCCCTATATCCCTGAAACCTATGATAATTTCTTGCATGGGATGGCGCTTAGAGTTCAGGATTGCCTCAACACCAACCCCATGAAACCTATGATAACTTCTTGCATGGGATGGCGCTTAGAGTTCAGGATTGCCTCAACACCAACCCCATGATGCTGTCGGACATGCTGGTAGCCCGCTGCCGCCTTCCCCGCCCACCCGCCTCCCCACAACCTCCGCACTGCACCTCACGCCCCGAATGTTGCCCACAATGCTCTTGAAGGTCGTTCGACGTTTGAGGCTTGAGTCTTCTGACTCGAGATGCCGTGATCTTGATTCAGTCCATTATGAATGTAGTTTGGGGGTGCATCTCGATTCTGGTGTGCATTGGCGTTGATTTCGCGAGGCGAGTTTCAGGGCTCGGGTGGAAGCCAGATCGCAAAGAATCCGAAAGTTTGGCTAACAGCAGTGCCGAACCCTGAACGCCAGGACGGAAATACAAAACGCTAAGCTTTGAAACCAGCACAGGGTCATCTAGCTAGATGCAAAACATGACAATCGTATTTGTGGCTTCCCGTTTTGTCGAAGTCCGCAGAAGGTGAGCGGAGGGCCTATCCAAATGCCCAGCTTCCGTCTGCTGTCCACGCACAAGGCGAGAAGGATCATGAAATCTTCAGCGAACTACCTATCGAATGGATGTTTTCTTGCATGTTACCAGCTTGGAACGTCCCTCTGCCGAAGGCAGAACAAACCCAACTGCTAAAGGCGAGAAACAACAGCTCAACAGCCCGACACCTTAAACCACAAACCCTAAACCCTAAACCCTAAACCCTGAACCCTGAACCCTAAACCCTAGTTTCGAACCTAGGGCCTAGGGCTCCCATGAACAAAGGAAGCACTAGCCATTTCTTGTTTCCACCGCACAACCTGTCGGGCAGATCACAAACCCGAACCCCGACCCTTTCACAACGTCCTCAGAATGATCCACCAATACCCCATAGAACCCATAGTATACAACCCAAACACCCTAACCCGGGGAAAAATGGCGACAGAGCCCGTTGAAAACATAACTTACAACAACTTCAACGCTGTAACTGTAACTACAGTACACTCACACCCTGTCAACG